TTTCATCCATCAACGTTTTAATATTACTCCTTATGAAATCATCAATAACAGAAAACCTAATGTCAAATTTTTCCATCTTTTCGGATGCAGGTGCTTTATTATGAATCTTAAGGATAATCTTTTATAATTTCAAGCAAAATTTGATGAAGGGATTCTCCTTGGATATTCGCATAATTCTGTTGCTTATCGTGTGCTAAAAAACGAACTCGAAAAGTGGAAGAAACATTTAATCTTACTTTTGATGATTATTATATTAAACAATTTGACAATCATCCAATGTTACAAGAAAATCAAACTGAATATGAAAATATACAATCATTTGATATTGATTATGACTTGATTTTTGGAAGCTCAAATTATACTGCAAATGCTAAAAGTAATGCTCCTGATAATCATGTCACTGAAGTTTCAAAACTAAATGATGATTCAACATCATCTCCTCAAACAATGGGTGAAAGTATGCATAATGATCCAATGGAGGGGGAGTTCTCGGATTCAAACACTCTACTTGAGGGGGAGCATTCTTTCGAGGGGGATAATGAAAGTGCATGTGATGATGTTGAGGGGGAGCAATTAAATAATCATATTGAGGGGGAGTTAAATCAAAATGATGAAACTTATAATGATATTAATGATGTTGGTTTAATTGCAGGATCTGAAAATGAAGATATGTACGAAGATGCACCTTTGGACTTCGATCTAGGTTATCCACCAACGGACAAATGGACAAAAGAGAATCCAAAGGAACAAATAATTGGTAATACATAAGATGGAGTTTTAACAAGAGCTCAAATTCGTGCGAAGAATGAGGTATTAAATGCTCATCAAGAATTTTGTATGTTCAACGTTTTTATCTCTAAAATTGAACCAAAAACAGTTAAGATTGTAATGGAACACTCAGATTGGGTTGTTACAATGCAATCTGAATTGTCTGAATTTGAACGAAATAAGGTTTGGAGGTTAATTCCTAAACCAGATGATGTTTTGATTGTCGAATTAAAAAGGATTTTCAAAAATAAAACCGACAAAAATGGAAATATAATTCGAAACAAAGCTAGACTTGTTGTTAAGGGATATTCTCAACAAGAAGGAATTGATTACGAAGAAACTTTTGCCCCTGTTGCAAGAATCGAGGCATTTCGTATATTTTTGGCTTATGCAGCTCACAAATATTTTGATGTATATAAAATGGATGTGAAGTGTGCATTTCTAAATGGAGAACACGAAGAAACAGTGTATGTGGAACAACCTCCAGGTTTTATAAACGAAGAACATCCATATTATGTTTATATTTTAGATAAGGCAGTTTATGGTTTGAAACAAGCACCACGAGCCTGGTATGCAACTCTTACTTCATTTTTGAAGCAATCTAAATCTAAACAAGGATCAATAGTTGGGAATCATCTAATACTTGTTCAAATTTATGTTGATGATATTATTTTTGGCTCAACTGACCCTGCTTTGTCTAAAGAATTTGATGATCTGATGAAGAGTAAGTTCGAAATGAGTATAATGGGAAAAGTTAATAATTTTCTTGGTTTCAACATTCGTCAAAACAGAGAAGGAATTTTAATAAATCAAGAAAAATACACGAAGAATCTGCTCAAAAAGTTTGGCTTGGTGAATAGCACGAAATTAGACATTCCAATGACAACTGGCATTAAACTCACTCCTTCGTTAGATAAACCTACCGTTGATATAACTTTATAGAGAAGCATGATTGGATCTTTACTTTCTTTGACTGCAAGTAGACCTGATATCATATTTTCCGTTTGTAATTGTGCTAGATATCAATCAAATCCTTGAGAGCCACATCTCACTGCTGTGAAGAATATCTTTCGTTATATCAAAGGAACATCTTCACATGGATTGTGGTACTCTTCGAATACTGGATTTTTTATTCAAGCATACTCGGATGCCGATTTGGGAGGATGTAATCTGGACTGAAAAAGTACAAGCGATCGTTGTCAATTACTTCATGGTAAATTGGTAAGTTGGAAATTGAAAAAGCAGACATGTGTTTATATCTCAACGGCCGAAGCTGAAGATGTTGTTGCTGCTTGCACAACACATATAATATGGATTCAAAGTCAATTACGTGATTATGAAATTAATATGAAAAAGATTCCTTTATATTTTGATTTACAAAGTGCAATAAGAATTTGTTATAATCCTATGCAGCATTCGAAAACCAAACACATTGCTCTTCGCTATCACTTCATAAAAGATCATGTAGAAGGTGGGAATATTGAAGTTTATTTTCTGAAAACTACTGATCAATTGGCTGATATTTTCATGAAAGCATTGGATGAAAAATCATTTGTAAGAATTTTAGAAGCACTTGGAATGGTTGATGGTAATTCAATTTCATGTGAAAAAGAAGATTGACAATTCACAGACACATCATCAATGGATAAGGTTACTGTTCATATGTCACTCTTCGAATGCTTTGAATTCGTATGATTGGAATTTTTTTTTATCTCATTTTAAAATTCAAAGATCTGCAACAAGTAACATTTGTGCATTTTTTTTTTGTTTTTTGTTCTTTATTTTTGAAAACTCAAAAACATGAAAAAGATTTTCATTTTATTTTGTTCTTTCTTTTCAAAATATAAAAAACAACAAAATGATTTTAATTTTTTCTATAAGTACTTTGTTGTAGATTTTATTGAAGAGATGAAAAGGCAAATGTTCGCCGGTTCTACGGTCAGGTATAAATATCTACTCTTTGAAATTTAAATTTAAAAAACTAGTTAACATGTACCTAGAAGCATGCTGCAGCATGTTGTCTAAAGCCTTGAATTGACTCAATGTTCGAAAGCCTTAATGAAATTATTCATACAAAGATTTCTTCCCAATAAGGCTTACATTCACATTAGTCAATGAGCTACCTTACTCTTCTGACATGAGTTGAGAGTTTTCTATTTGGTCCAATATACTAAAGGTACATTCTTTCTAAGGAAGCAATCTTTTTCGTCTTAAAATTCTTACACTTTCACACACGAAGACATATATCCACAAGGTTTCTGATCAAAACAAATCAAAATCTAGATATATCACAAATATGTGTTAATGATCAGTCGTCATGAGACCGTGATGATAGTGAAACCCAAATTTCTTTCCAAATTAAGGAATTGACGGGGAACTATGTTCCAGCTTTCACGAAACTTTTGTTTCAGTACCAATCTTCAAAACTCCAAATCATATTCATTTCGTATGAGTGATCTTGATCAAATTTCGTAGCCCACGAAGTTTGTTACCCATCAAGATCCAGCATAAAGTTTTTTTTTTATGAATATGATTTCTGTGTGAGTTTACTTCGAATCCCAAAGTTACTTTAAATATTTACAAAGCACACTTGTCACTAGCTACACTGGTCACACAAGTAATTTCTGTTACAATTACTCACCTTATGATAAGGCTGATATGTAAAGAAATTGTTTTTAGCCACCCATGTAACCTTACAAAAGATGCCCTTCAAAAATTATGTACAAGTTTTCAATTGTATTTCACAGGAACATACACAAGCTATTAATTATCTCTCTTGATAATTAACGAAGAAACCTTTGCCTGGGGTTTAATTGCCTTTGTGTCAAATTCATTTTTGACATCATAAATATCCTAAAATTTTTTAATTTACTTTCGATCTTAATTCTTTGACACAATGCACACACGAAATCCTTGAGATTCTGGGTAATACCAACTCAGGCTGATAATTTCGAAACTCTGGAAAATGACTTTACTTCGAAACCCAAAAGTAAAACAGCATAACCTCCATCCAAAGGGTTCTAACGGTTACAATTCCATTGGGTCAATAAATAAAGGCTGTTTGAGGAGACATTTTATATTCCTTCCAGTTTTCAAGGCGATGTGACAGTTACTTTTGACGCATTGTAACGTTATCATTATCATGATGCGCTTTTCTCGATGCCACATCAGCATACATTCAATGCACATCCCACTTTGATTTCAAATTTCAGAGTTACATATAAATGGGGATCCAAGGCTTAATGATTTGTTTACGCTTTCTTCATTCCAAATACTCTCTGTAAATCAAATTCTCTCTGTTCATCATTTACTTCGAAGCCCTAAAATTGACGAATGTTGCACATGTTATGACTGAACCTTCTCACACAATGGATGATGTTACTTCTTTGCCAATCATGAAGATCCAGGGTACCAATTATCAGGTGGAATCCAATGTTTTCATTGTATCCTGAAGAACTTAAAATGCTGATTGTTGCTCTGCAAAACTCCGTCTTATCAAAAGCAATGTTCAACTCCTTTTCTGTTCCATTCTCCTGGTTATCACAAGAAGGATCAACTGCCACATATTCCAAAGGATTGGATGATGTTACATTTAACCTAATCAAAGATAAAAAGGTTAGATTGACACAAAAGCTTTACTGCAAATTCTCGATATCCCAAATTCTCCACCGTATGTTTCTTTCACATTTCCTCAAATTTTCCACATGTTCAACGAATAGGGTCATCAACCCCAGCTAACTAAAATCAGCGATTTTAAGAAGTCGGGGCTTCCATGTGTATGGAATTTTCTTTTTAGGATTTTTATTCGTTTTTTGATTGGCAAAACGGTAGGAATTGATAAAGGAAGAATGGGGGTATACGCCATGGTAGCAGGGCTGTATTATGATCTCCAGGTGGACTATTCGACTCAACTGTGGAAGGAATTTCAAAAGAGTATCGAGAACACAAATGTTGTTCATGGCATTTCATGTGCTAGGTACTGGAGCTTGAATTTGCAACATTTCTATGATAAAGAAGGTATATTAGTTCCAGATAATGAATAGAATGCTATGTTTCACACATATAGTTGTCTGAAGGATGCAACAGATGATTTGGATGAGTTTCTGTTTGCAGCTCGTATTCCCGACGCGATGCTGAAGAGAATTGATCCTTCGTCAGTCTTGGTTTCTTACTTAGCAACCATCAATACTTGTGTGCAAACTGGGATTCTTTTACCATAGATATCTGAAAAGATGTCAAAGAAGTCGAAGACAACTGATGTTGGGTCTGCGGATACAAAAGTCAAGTCTTCAAAGAAAACGAAGCAAGTTCCTATGATTGAACCAGAGCCAATTCAGCCAGAGCTGATTATTCCTGATACCCAGGTCACTAAAAAGGAAGTCATTCCTTCGAAGAGTGCTGTATTCAGATGAATTAAGATGAAGTCGAAGAGCAAGAGAAGATCATCAGGTACGAATGTTGTTTGTAAACCACAAGTATCTCATCAAGGGGTGATTTTTTGGAAAATTCCTACCCCTAGTTCTCCATCATCAAAGAAGAGAATGGCTGTTGACATGGATAAGCATATTTCTAAGAAGAAGTGTAAGTTGATTCTATCTTCTGATTCTACAGCTGATGAGATAGAAGTTATTCCAGAGACTCCAGAGGCAGTTCTTATCAGCGAATCTTCTAAAGCTGATACTTTAGTTACTCAACAACCCGAAGTTTTGATTGCCAAGACAATTACTATGGAGGCTCGAACATTAGACATCCCTGTAAACATATCTGATATGGATACAAATGTCATCATGGGTGAGGATACTTCAAATAATGCAGCTAAAGGTAATACTTTGAATGTGGTTTCCGAATCTCTCATTTCTTTTCCTTCTCAGATTACCCCTATTATTCCTACATCTACCACTGATTCTCCCACATTTACTCACATTATTTCACATCCATTCACAACTCTCTTTTCTTCACAATCAACTGATCCACCTACCACTACCTCTCCACTGAAAGATTCATTCTTGGAAACTGAAAATGAATCAGAAGGTTTTGGGGGAACCTTTGAAAACTTCGAGTTTGATGAAGAGGAAACTGATTTCCCGGATCAGATGCTAATGATGTTGAAACAGTTTAAGATTTTGAATACAAAGCTCAATTCAATTATTTAATCTCAAGTTGACATTAGGGGAGGTCATGCTGTGTCAAGTCTGGAAGCTGATGGCATGTTGTCATTGCTTAAAGGGAGGCTGACAACCAAAGTTTCTAGAATGATTCAAGCTTCCGAGTCCCGATTAATGGAAAATATTGATCTTTCTGATCAAAACAATGACTCACGGGTAAAGTCACAAAAGTCTAATTTTTTATCAAACATACAAGATTTGAAGATGGTGGAAAAAGAAAGACATGTGCTCTTTGTTCAATATGTTAAGAAGGTGCGAGAAGGCGTAAATTTCAAAATTAAGGAATTACGTGAAGATATGGAGAAGGAAATTTTGGTTGTTCATATTGAATTCAAATCCATCAACAAGAAGGTGGATATTATCTACGAAGATGTTACAAAGTTTGCCAAGGTCTATGAAAGCCTGAGTCATCAGATTACTCAGCTTTCAACAACTGACAATAAAAATTTCATGGAAGTATTTAAACTTCTGAAAGAGCTCAAAAGTCTATCTTCCAAGCCTCCTTCGTCCATACTATCTTTGGAAGATTTGATCCAGAAATTTTCCAAGTTCGAAGAATTACTTGTCCAGCAACTGGGCCCTTTATCCCGCATCTCCAGTCTTCTTCCAACTATGTATGCCCCACCTGCTATCACAGGGGTGCAATTGGGAGAAAAAAATCATGGTATGATCGAAGAAAGGAGGATATTTGAAGGTGGTGGGGAAAGTGTTTTCAACAAATATTCCATCATCAAAACCAGTCGTTGCAACAGCTAGTCCAATCACTTCAACCGTTGTGACCACTGTGCCAATCACAAAACCAAAAGGAATTGTGATTGGTTAAACTACTGATGTTGGAGGGAGTGGTTCCATACAAAACGAAAATGTTGATGAATCTGGTGCGAAGTCAAAGGGAAAAGAAATACTAATTGAGAATTCTAAGGAGAAGAAGAAGGCAGAAGCAGAAGCTGAGGTTGAGAAAATGAGAATGATACAAAGTATCATGACTCAAAGAGCAAGTGACCCTCTTGGTTTGAACAAGGGTGATCCTACGAAGCACTATAACTATGAAACGATTGAAGCCAAAGTTTCTTTTAATCACATGTACACATTTGAGAAAAAGCCCAAACAAAGCTACATTGTTAGCAAAACACATTCAAGACAGTTGGATTTACCCATAAACGAAATGATGTTCATTATGGCACAATTGAAGGCTAAGAGAAAATTTAAAGAAAAATACGAAGGGACACACTTGAAGATCAGATTTCATGTTGTTCTTGCTAAGCCAGCTGAAGAAGTGTGGTCGTTAATGAAGATCAAGAAGGTGATTAGCATAAAGAAGGATGTGATCTTCGAAGACACAGTGCAAAATCTTAAGTATGTGGTGGTGACGGCAAATTGAAAAGTATGTGAATTCACTGTGGCTGACTTTCAATTCATGAACTTGTATGATCATATACAAGTTGCATTAATTCTGAAGGAATGGTCATTTTCGTATTTGCAAAATACTGAGCCATATGAGTTTATGTGACAACCCGATGTTGTTTCATCGCCGTAACTCGTTCCGCCCGTAAAACTCGTCTTAAGCAAGTTGTTCCGATTTCATTTTTGGGTTAGGTCGTTTAAGTTAGGACTTTTATTTTGACCTCCTAAGTATCCTAACACGATAGAAACACATGAAAACGCACCAAATTAGTAATTAGAAAATTTTTAGTTTCGACCATATCGGGTTACGACAATTTAAATCGGGTGCAACCAAAAGCCTCGGTTAACGTCGGTATCGGGTAGAATTCCACTGTGTATCAAATCCAAATCATATTTAAAGTTCTTTAAGCATCATTTGAAGACTTTTCACTCTCTCTCTAACCTCTCTCCTCAAATCCAACTTCTTGATCCAAAATCACTCATTTCAAGCTTCAAATCACCAAGGTAACTATCCTAGCTCCTTGTATAACATCCTTAGCCTTGAATTTCGTGGTCAAATCATGATTTAGGACCATAAACATGTGTTTACAGCCCTAGAACACTCTTGGGCTATGAACACATATAAAGGGGGGGTTTTGAGCCTTAAAACCCTTCCAAACCACCAGTGGAGCATAGATATGGATTAAGCACTTATTGGATTGGACTTAGAACACCTAAAACTCAAATTTTGGGGAGTAAACATGAGTTTACTACCCAAGAACATGCTTGGGCGGTAAACTCTATATCATGGGTAGTAAACTCAATTTCAAGTGTTTAAATGCCACTTAAACACACTAATAGCCTTGGATTAAAGTCTAGAACCATCCATAATCAATTTAGGTGCCTTAAATATGATGAAAACCCCCCTTTTAGGAGTTCACAGCCGTAAACCACCCAAGGATGGGTTCCTAGGCCGTAAACACATATACACAAGTCAAATGATGCCCTAAATCCATTCTAAGGCTTTTTGAAATTAGTTTGAATCACATGTGATTGATCTAAGGCCACCAAATCATTAATATAAGGAAGGTATAGGAGATTACGACTTTAAAATCCTAGTTTAGGGCTGTAAACTCCCTTTAATGATTCCTTTGGTGGTTTAACTTCTTCCTATGCCTTAGATTAAATCCTAGCAACTATCCCCAAGTGATATTTGACCATTTAGCACCTTAAAACCCATCAACCATGAGTTCACGGCCGTGAACTCATGTGGTCATAGTCTTAGGGCCGTAAACTCCTTAAGGAGTTCACTCTTGAAGAGCAAACTCATTATCTAAACCCTATACGTCCGTAGATGTCACCCGGGTCACTCCAAACACTTGATTTGAAGTGTTTTCGTGTCTTGGAGTGTAAAATCATATCTAATTAGTGATTTAAAGTCTAATTAGATACATTTGTGTATCATTGAATATTACATAGGAACCTCACACATTTTCAAGCCTCGATCCGACTTTAGCATTCTAGTCGACACACTCCTTGTCCGGTGAGTTCATACCCCTACCTTTTTTCAATGTTTTTCAATGTTTTCAGGGGGCAATACAAGTAAAAGTACAAGAATATCATGTACTTAAATTCATCATTTCGTTTGAATGGTTTCATAATCAATACACTTTTAAGAATTGAAAACATATTAACAACCTGCTTGACTTGCAGAGTTGTTTTTCAAACCGATTTCAATTCTTATTATATAGTGTTATGCTTTATACTTCACAATTGATTGTTCACACATTTAATATTTTATATCATAGAACTTTTGTATTGTCCTTAATAAAACACCCCTAGATACGAGAGTAAAGAACCAATAAAACAGGGTTTCCGTATTAATAATTTCAGTTTTAAATTCGTGAATCCTAGGATTGCAGACACGTCCTTTGCAACACTTCCCCTAGATACGAGAGTGGAGGACTATCCATGTAACCAGAATCTCCGAAAGGGAGAGCGTGACTTGAGTGTATAGATCTATACGGGATTGACTATCCTGCACCCGGCTGCTAGTTACAACCGAACCGAAAGGTTCAAGGGTGGCAAAAGTCATAAAAGATATTGGCCCCATTCCGAGTCATATCTAGTCTGTAGTATGGTTATGGAACTTGCAATGAAGATTATGAAAACTTTATACTTATTTATTAGTTTTATATACGTGTAAAAACTAAAGTACATTAAAGGTAACCAAACTTTCGGGAAACTTCACACACACACTTTAAGTATGGTAGATACTTGTACGTTACTTTCATATTCGATAACATTTCACAAACATTTTAGGAAAATAAGGGTTTTTCCTGGGATAACTAAACTTGTTTTTAATCAGAGTGTGTAAAAACCAGATAACAAACTGTTCTTAATCAAACTAGGTAACATACGGGTAACTAAACTTTACTTTTAAGAAAATATGGGATTTTCTTGGGTTCGTAACTTTTTCAGAAAACCGGAAGGAAACTTGTTCATTATCAGAAAACAAAACCGCTTATGAACTCACCAGCTTTATACTGATTTTTAAGTTGTTTGTATTCTCATGTCCACATTAGACCGGTACCCGCGATCTTTTGGAGAAGACGGAGCCTAGAAGTCACGTCTTTACTTTTGTCGTATATACATATGTATAACGCTTGTAACACTTTACTTCTAAACAATTTTAAATTTCATATGTAATGTAATGGTTGTTTAGTTTGCTTACTATGTACATTGGTTATGGTATTCAACTTGAAGTCACCTCTGCCCCGGAACATTTTAGCCTTCGTTTTCGGGGTGTGACAGTTTAAGATTGGAGTGACTCACATCAAAATCTTTATTGAAAATTATTACGAATGTCTTGCAATGACTGATGTGGAGTTGGCTACTGCGAAGAGTTTGGAAATAAGAGCTCCCATGAATCCTACGAAGACTCAAGTAGAACTTAAAAGATATGCTGATGGAGAAATCTGCTTGAAACCCTTTGGGTTAGTCTTTTCTGGGAAGGATAAGTCGGGAAGGTCGAAGAAATTTTTGTTTCAAGCTGCTGAGGTGGAAAGATATTCAACTTCGCAATAAACGAATTTAGTGGTTCGTATGAACCATTGCAAGAAGAATAATGAAGGTTATAAGAAGGACTGAAGAAAATTATTAACTGGTATACGGAGATTCAAAGGGTCATGCTTTACTCTATTCAAATTCTTACCAATTGAAGACTTTCACTTTGATTCCAAAGGGGGAGATTGTAAGGGTGAATTTTGTTGTAATTGGTCGATGTATTTCGTGTCTTCGTATGTTCTATTCTTTGTTCCTTATGTAATGTATTATTCTAAGGCATTGTATTTGAAGCTTAACACTTAGTCCTTATAATATTTTTTGTACGCTTTTTTCTCCTATAAATAGGAGTGTTTACTAGAGTTAGTTACAATGACTTTAACAAAACTTGTATTATGTACTCAGTAAAAACTTGAGAAGCGTAATAGAGCTGAAACAGAGATCATATTTACATCGATGTTCAAATCTTGCATACTTCTTTTTGATCATTTGAAACTTTGATTAATTTCATACTCGATTCCTTGCTTCATCACTTTCGGCTC